TATTATCACAGTGAATACTTTTATAATGTCTATCTTCAGATATCAATAAAATCTTTATTCTTTGTATAGAGCAATAATCTAAATGTGATTTAATTTAAACAGTGTCAGTATTTTTTATTTAAAAGAATAAGAAAAAATAAAATATTAGATATGCAAACGTTCGTTGCTTATTTTCAATCAGTAGAATAATTACATTTCAATTGCTAGAATAATTTTTTCATTAAAAGAGAAAAATTATTACAATATCTATTTAATATACAACGAAAATCTTTTTCTGTTTCAAAGTATAAAATCATAATTGCATGTGGAAGTAATATGCAATTGATGTAAACATTAAAAAACTGTATTTACAAAACGAACCATATAACTCAATTGCTGGTTTTTTTATATACATACAGGTACATATAATGCAATGTAATTTTTAATAAATTTTGTTCAAAATATATATATATATATGAAAAATGTGGTACATTATTAAGAATATTGCTATCAAAGTTGTTTGATAGTTTCAAGGGTTAGTTGCATTTTAAAAAGATGCAGTTGATGTTAGCTTGTATTCATGTCTTCTTTCTTTTTGGCGGTAAGCTCAAAAATCATGTCTCTCATGCGGCTTAAATCTATTAATTCTGCTCTCAGCTTCTGGAGACTTTCCTCTCTTTCTGCAATAGTTTGTTCGTACGTATGTACTAATTGCGATAATTGTTGTGTTTCTTGCTTAAGCGCAGAAATATCTTTTTGATTCGATTGTATTTCTGCGTCTTTTAATTCTATCACCTATTGAAAATCAAACACATTAATAAAACTATTTTTATATTCTAAAATTTATAATATTCTTTTTAAAAATACCTGTTCTTTCTTATTAAGCTGATCTTGCATTTTGTGAAGGACTTTACTCAACTCATGATTCTTATTGACCATTTCTGTAGTTCTCGCATCCGCATTCGCGCATTCCGCTTCTACTTCTTTTATTTTTTTAGTTAATGCTTCAGTTCTGTTAATACTACTTTCCAACTCGTGTTTATACTGTGATATTAATATATTTTGATGCTCGATATTAGCAGACTTTTCAGTGACTATTTTTTTCAATCCTTCAATTTCCTACGAATAAAATTTCTAAGTAAATTTTGTATTTGTACAATTATTAATTTACTATCAAGTTTATCAACCTGTTTTTTAATAGCTACTGCTTTTTTACTTTGCTCTTCTGCTTCAGCAAGTTTTACTGTCAATGTAGATTTAACACCTTCTAAACATTGCTGAGTATCAAATAACATTTGATGTAGACGACTCGACTCAGCCACTATTTGTGCAAGTCTATGCTGTAAACTAATGCCATGATTGTTCGCTGCTTCTAAACTGGATTGCATCGCACGTTCTGCATGTCTCATAGCTGCTAACTTTAAAAAGAAAAAACAGTTTAAAACATATATCGTTCCTCACGAAAGAAAAAGACTGTAAGAATTCTATACCTTGTATTCATACAATTCCATGACTGCTGAAGTGGTAATGTCACTCATTTGGTTTGACTCATAAGCTCTTTTTAATTTTGCTAAAAAGGCATCAAGTCGTTCTTCTTGCGCAAAAGAGAAAAGCGGAGCCATTTCGCTATTTGAATTTATGGGCATTTTGTTTCCAATACTCGTAACCATACTGGAAGTACTTTGTACTAATATCAGAGGTTCCAACTGCTTCATACAAAGCGCCACCGCAGAAACACTTACCATAGAAAAATGTAAAATAAAATTTGCATGTGATAACAAATTTGAATAGAATTATCATTGATAAAAATTAAAATGATTTTCTGTAAAAATGATTTGATTTTAAGGAAGAGGTCACAACACTATAATTGTCAACATGAATCTCCAATCTTTAAAAATCTTGAATAAAAATGATTACTGTGACCTATTCTTATTAACAGCAAAAATATGATAAGTTTTCTCAAATGGTAATTCTTGTTAAAAGTTTATGTATTTCAAAGTGTAATTAAAATGGATAAATATAAAATTACCATTCTTGAGGAAATCCTACAGTAGATGTTAATTGTAAAACTTTCTGTTTGACATCAGTATCACCAATAAACACTGCATAAGCCATTGTCATTTGTATTTGTTTTTTTCGAAGTAGTTCAGAATATAGAGTTAGCCAGTTGGAATTATGAGCTGCTAAATCAGCTGTTAAAGCTAATGCATGAATGCATAGATTTGTAGTTGGATTCTGAAAAGTTTAAGAGCGAATTAATATTTATCAACAATCATTATTATTACATATTAAGAAAACATTACTTGAATATATTTTCCAGGAAAATCATCAGCTGTACACGTTTCAGAATCCAACATTGGACTCAGTAATTTATATAATGTCTGTTCACTCAGAGACTGCATAACCTTGGGTCTAAGCGAAGGGATTTTAACCATTTCTTGAAACAGCTGCATTAATTCTGCTAGTCTTGTTTCTGTTTCCAAGCTTAATTCCTGTACACTTTGGTGTCTATTGTTTTCCGAATTTATGATAAGCATCAAAACAGAAGCATCTAATTCTGCTAAGACTTCAGCGGATGTCTTAATACGTCGCGAATCAATTACAGTGACTCTTATTAAAGTCAATGCTTTGGAACATACCTAGTTTGAAAAATATTTATTTGTACTAACAGAAAGATGCACGAAAGAAATAATGCTTAAAATTACAACACACCTGTTCCACAGGGACCCATGTCATAGCTGTTTTTACACATAAAGGATACAATGGTATTAAGGCTGATAATTTTAATTTTACTAACGATGCCAAAAATTCCATCATAAGTGCAACACATTCTGGATCCGCATTATCTTCTAATGTAGCCAATACATTTTCTACATCTCTGCCGTAACTAATTAATAAAAGAAATTGAATGAATGTTTAAAACACATTTTTAGAGCATAGGTGTATTAATAACTTACTGTGCATATGTAAGTAACACAGAGTGAGAGTGTTCGTTTTGCCCAACATCATTGAAAAAGTCTATAATATGTCTGAGTAATAAAACATCCCTTTGTTTCATTGCAACAATAAGACTACTAAATGTAACAGCAGCAAAATCTAAGATGTATTTTTCCGAGATGTTTGTATTTGTGTGCTCTAAGATAATTAAAAGTTTGCAACATTGCACGCTGGTATTAACATTACAATGTTGCAGTTTTAGCAATGTCCTTATAAAAGCTTTCGTGTCAATAGTTCTCATTAAAGTATAGACTGCTGGAAGATTTTTGTAACAAAGATTCACTAATACGCCAAGAGAAAGAGCAATAATATCTTCTTCTTTGGATTGGGTTACCCACTGTGTTAATATAGAAATTAAGTAAGGCAAATGAGCTTCTTGCCAAGAAATTTTTATACCATATGTTAATTCTTGAAGTAATTTTAATACTCGTATTCTTTTCTCAGTTGTCAAATTAGCCTAAAAGATTTTTAAATAAAACTGTATACTTAAATAAATATAATTTTTATCGTATCATTAAATGTACAATACCTCCAATAATCTCGCCAATATGGGTGCAAATTTATAAGTATGTATAAGGGCTTGTCTAGCAGCCGCATTACGACAAGCATTTTGTAAAACATCAACTGTGCTCCAAATTAAGGTAGTCCTAGATGCCAAAGAATTCATAAGCTCGTGTAGACTAACATAGAACTCTGCAGCTACACTGGTACCAGGATCAAATATACTTAAATCCAATGATACGCTTATTACCTTTCAAACATAGATTTTTATTGTAAAAAGACAATTTATATTTCTAACAATCTTATCTTCTCATATAATATTATAATTATTATATCATTACAAGTTGTTTTTGTAATACATTATACTATTATTGTATTTAGAACATTTCAATATCATTATTTGTATAAATTAATAGAATTTTATTATTTAAAATAAACAGAAATTAGTCATAACTTACACCAAGATTTCGTTGTAAAACCGCAGCAGTTGTTTCACTCGGATGTTTAATATATTCTACAACTGCAAATATAAATGTTCTCATAGGTTGATATTTTTCCATTTTGTTTAGCCTGTGTATCTTGAATAATTCTGAAATTTCGTCTTCTTAGAAATGAGAATAACATTAAAACTGATCTCATAAACCTTCTTCAGAAAGTGTAATTTCTACAATGGGAACACATTATGTTTTCAAGAAAAGCATCCATAGAAAGTAAAAATACGTTTATATGGCGTATATGTTCTTACAGGTACATCTCGAGAATTAAACATGTGTATTTTTTTGTCGCATATATATACATATATATATATATATTCACAAGATTGAAAATAAGAAATATTGTTTTACGAGAAAACGGTATTTGGCGGCCATTTCTAAAATTGAATTTCAAAATAAACCAATCAGGGCAGAATTGGAAAGGATAGATAAACAGTATATATTAATCCAATTCGTAAGAAAATAATTCTTGTACTTTTAAATTATTATAATTAATGTTACATTTAATGAAGTGATTTGTTGCGTCATTAGAAAATTAGAGTTTTGCAAACTAAGGATTTTTAGAAAGGGCAATGACTCCTAATGATTCTCATTGTGACCAAAAGAAAGTCCCTAGTAAATCCTAAATTCCTAAATCTCTACTGTAGAATGGACATGTAAATACACACATCCACTGTGCGTAAGTATGTTATCAGTCGAGAGAGGCGCTGTATTTTTAGTCGCTCTCATCGAAATGCACCATTTCCGACTTGAGGAAAAAGAAAACGACATTGAAGAAAGGTACCCCCGAAAGATCTTCCTCGATTGAAATCAATTCGTCGTTTCTTCACGGTTTCACGGACAATTTCTGGTAATTGACTAATCCGTTAGTCATCGGAAAAAGGTTTGTGTGTACGTGATCTACGGGGTTTGTTGTTGTGAACGAAAGTGTCACAGCATCGTGTGTATCGTGTGCGTGATTGAGACTCGGGTCTTGATACCATTCAGTGTGATTTAAATTCTCCAATTTGAAACTTGATCACGTTGGATTAGAAGTATATTAATGTACCGTTGATCGGGAAAGTGCCATATGGAACGATTGTTTCGAGAAAAGTGGTAAAGTCTTCTCCTCGAGCAGAAAAAAGGAAGTGTGAAAAAAAAACAGCGATCTTCACGGAGTCGTGTGTCTGGTGTGTGTACCAAGCGGAGCTGTCATAAATGTACACATTCTATATAGATTGCACAATCTATGCTCTGTTAGTGGGCCGATTTACTGGAGACAAGTGATCGTGTCTGACGCGCGGCAGTGAATTGACATTAATCATCGTCGCGCGGTGTTGTGCACCCATCGACCTAAACGTCTAAAGAGCTAGTGCCGCATTTCTATCCAACGGCGAGTTTCCTCACGCAGCAGGTTAAGCACTGAAAATTCGACTTTTCCATCTTGTTAGGTGTCCCTATTCATGCTACTAGCAAACTACATTTTCAATGTTTTTTCTATTTTTTATTAAAAAAAATTTTTTTTTCTCTTAAGAATTGACGTGCGTGATAGAGAATCGGTTGTTTATGAACAGTGTCATCTACATTAGAGGCGTAAAATGTGTTCGGCGATGTGCCTACATTATTCGTCTTTTGGCGTGTATTATTATCATACGGATGTTGATAAGATCCTGTGTACCCGTCGACACCGCAATTCCTTCAATCTGTGCTTCATTTTTTTTCTCCCTGTCCCTTGAGTAATAAGGGTTCTCGATTTTCCGAAAGATTCGATATTTCAGATCTTGCTGACGTTACACGGGCGGTGACAAGTACTCGAAGCCGTAACTATCGTGGCGCATCACTTACTCCCTTTATTCGTCTCTCTTCGTCTCTCTCCTACAATCTCCCGAGAGGAACAGAGAAGGCGAGAACGTGAATGAGTGAGTGCGAGAGAGAAAAGCAGAATGAGCGTAGCGGTGAAAGAAGGAAAGATCCTGCTGCGAATGAGTAACCGAGTGCGGGAGAGAGAGGGCCGTGCTTTAAGCGAATAACGGGGCGGGAGGAAAGAAGACAGAGTTTACTAAGCATGCACAAGAGAGAAACGGCATGAGCTGTGTCAGGGCGAAGCGAGAAAGAGAATTCGCGCGCGCGTACATAGAACTCTATGCGTCCTTATCGGTTTCTTTCTTTCGCAGTCCCTATGCACCGCTTTAACGGTTTCTCGTGATTTTTCGATAATACCATTTCGTCGAAGGTTATGAGATATTGGTTACGTAGATAACTTTCGGGTGAGTCTTTTTTATGGGTACGATAGTTGCACGTAACTCAGTATACTCGTCGATGTGCATCCGATAGTACGTTTGTATGTATTCGTGTTTTCCACTTGGTTCGTTCTCACTCTTATGGACGCTTTTTTTTTCTTTCTTATGAGTCCGTACCCGGACTCGGATGGGCTCGCACGATGCGGACCTGTTTCCTTCTAGTCACCGTGCTGTACGAATCCCGTGATCGCCGTGAACTTTGCTGCATTTAGCCACTCTGTCTTACCGATCCTTACTCGTTGTTCAGTCTTCGTTAGAACGGGCTTTGCATTATCATTTGTAGAATTGGAGTTTTATCAACCGTAACGTTATTTGCGAATCAACTACGGACTGCTCAATTTCTCGAGACTCGCTCCACGGGCTAATTGGATAATGTAATTAACAGGAGCTCCGCTTTAATGGGTTACATAGCATACGTTATTATTTTCCTCTAGTTTTACCCATTGTACTTCTTACTTGTGAGTGTTTCGTAGGAACTAATCACAACAGAATAGATAACGAAATTTCGCATTCTTGTTTATAGTAATTGGTATCTGTTTTTACGTATCCGAGGCACGCCGAGCTTTTGCGCGTTTAAAGAGCTAATGATATGAATAACGATACGGAATCTCGGTTTTTTCATTTAATTATGGTATTCAATTCATGCAGTTTGATAGAACGTAAACCTTTCAGAGTCTTACTGTTCAGAAACGTTTCACTTGATCGTACAGTTTATATTCTGTATAGATTGTAAAGTATATTTGTTGTTTATTCAATTTATTAATAACTTCTACTCATTTTAATTTCAAATTGTGTTTCAGTTCACAAGAAGAATTCATAATCTTCCAAAAAAATTTGTTAATTGTTTGCGCTGAAATTTGAATTACTTTAGTTAATTTCTATGGCACTGTATAAGATCTTTATCTAGCAAATGAAACTTTTATATAAATAAATATTTATCTACCATTTATATATGCTCTAGATAAGACATCTTTAACGTTGACTATGTATTATGCTATATTTTGAAAATATAATACTTTATTAAAATTAACAATTTCTTTTATATTTAGGTAATCATGGCTAATCGGGGTACAGCCCAGAGGCCAAATGGTTCAACACAAGGAAAAATTTGTCAGTTTAAATTGGTGCTACTTGGAGAATCCGCAGTTGGAAAATCAAGCCTTGTATTGAGGTTTGTTAAAGGACAATTCCATGAGTTTCAAGAAAGTACTATTGGAGGTAAGAATTTCTTTTATATACATACACGAAATAATTTTATCAATTGGATCTGACCATGGCTCTCTTCTAAGCGAATTATCAAAACTATAAATGACAAATTTTCATTGTTAACTCTTATCCTATAGTATGATTTTAGTATGAGTGTATTGATTCATTAACAAAGTGCAATTATATATTTTGTTTCAATGCAATATAACGAAATGCAAGCAATGTAACAGAAAATATCAAGAAATATATGAACAAAGTGTTTAGAATTCAATAATGAAACGTCTGAATGCTTGCT